ACACATATATGTTTATAAATAAATTTGTATCTGGGCGTTTGAGAACCCAAATTCTTGAGAGAAAAGGTGAAACAAAGCAATCACATGGCTGCCAAAGTATTTTGTTCTGAGAGCCTTCAATGAATTATTGTATGTACAACATAATTACATTATAAGAGTTAAATCTTTATCAAGCCTCCACCTCCACGTCCCTTCTTGCCTTTGGGGACCAAGCTGTCCAGAACTATATCCACTCTCTTTCTCAAAATGTCTCCTCCATTTCTCAAGCTCTCCAGGCCCTCCATTACCCGGGATTGGATCATCCACTGCATTCCTTCCTTCCTGGTGACTCATTGCTCGTGAAATCCTTGACTGACTCCAGTCCCCTAGCTGAACAGTGGAAAGGACCCTTCCTTGTCCTTCTCATGACCTATACGGCTATCAAAGTTGCTGGCATTTGCACCTTGATTCACCATTCCCATTTGAAGACCTCTGATCCTCCTGAGCACTCCAGTTATCATTGGACTGTAGCCCTCGTGCTGAGGATGATCTTCGGCTGAAGCTTTTGTTTAAACAACATCACCCTTTAGTCGCATGTCAAAATACCAAAGGAGTCACTGGTTTCCTACGGGCACTCAGCAATTTGCCATAGGCACTCTATCTTTTTTCACCATGTGACTCAGTTACAAAGGGAGGGGGGCAGGAGGGTATAGTGAGGGAAACAAACGTTGAGGCTTATAGAGAGTTGGTCTATAGCCGTGATGACAAACCTATAGCATGTGTGCCACAAGTGGCACGCAGAGCCATTTGTGCAGGCACTTGGGCCCCAGGCAAACTTACCTCACTACACATGCACGTGCCTCCCAGCTGATTTGGGGGGCTTTTTCGGCCTCCCAGAGGCTGGAGGGAAGCCTCTGCAGTCATTGTAGGCTGAAAAACAGGCCTGTTTCATCACTTCCTGTATTTCTGGAAATACCGGAAGTGACAAAACAGGCCCATATTTCAGCCTACAACGGCTGCAGAGGCTTCCCTCCAGCTTCTGGTAGACCGAAAAAGGCCCCAAAATAAACTGGGTGGCATGTGCATGCACAGTGCAGGTAAGGGGGCAGGGGGAGGATTGTGCACGCATGCACGGGGTGGGGGGCCCTGCGCACATTGCCTTCTGGGTGCTGGCACACAAGTGCAATTTTCGGCACAGGAGCCCAAAAAGGTTAGCCACCACTGGTCTATCATGAAGACCTTCCATCAGAACGCCACCCAGTACAACCGGGCCATGTGAAAGCTTTAGAACATGGTGGCACCACCCCACCCCAAAACAAATGGAAGAACAACAAACAGCTTCAGTGGCCATCTTTGGGGTTTGGTGTACCAACACATATTCAGAATATCCAGATCTGAGCAAAAATGTTAAACATTACCAATTGTGCACACATACACCCGACTTGCACTCAGGCAGGTAATTGAAACAGCCCCATTGGAAGCCGAGGTGTACCAAATCACAGAGGTTACTCATAGTTGGAAGATGCCCATTCTCCATAATAAAAAAAAAACAAATCATTGCAAAGTTAGGGTCTTGTATCCAACACACAGCAGTGGCTTGCCTCCAATCTTTTAATTCTTCAAATTAAATATAAATATAAACTTGGTATATATTTATGGTGCGCCATCACCTGGAAAGTCAACTGTACCTTACGGAAGGTGATGGATAAGTGCAATCAGGCTTTTCACATTACGATCAGTGAGGATCACAATTTATTGGTCCTGTACAACCCATATGTAGTAGAGAACAGCCCCAAAGATGTTAATACTGGCTTCTTCTCTGGACTGTCTTCTTGGCTTACTAGTTGGCTACCTGGGTGGGTTGGCTCCGGGAGATTTTTCGGGTTATCGTTTTTGTCATCTTCCTTATATTCTTCTTCTTCTTCTGTTGCATACATTGTCTTCCTCTTATCATGTCTGCCTGCCCTAACACCAGCCCCATGAGACATCAGAAATGTAGCTCGTATGCTGTCTCTGCCTACCCTGTCTTTGCAGATCATACTTGTGTGCACTTGTCAAAATATGAAAGGGGTTTTTATGTTGATCATAATTCTGATAACTCTGATGGCTGGTTAAAAGGTTCTTATGTTGAAATGGCAGAAATAAAGTTTAAACTTTAGCTGGCCCTTTGTGGAAAGTTCTATAAGAAACCAAAAGCTGGTGAGCTAAGCCTGTGATAAAACCACAAGAGGCATGCACAGGTATTTTTGTAACTGCTATACCTCATCTACTATACCCCTGCTTCCTACTAGGAAGCCATCAAGAAACAAGAAATCTGTATATACTTGCTTCAAACTGCATTCAGGGTTCTTCCAATCTTATGGGACACCAAGAATCAATCTTGGCTCAGCTGAATAAATACTTATTTTTAAAGAGAGAGAACCTAGTTTCTGTCTCTTTGGTTGCACTAAGCCACACCTGATTTCTGCTTGACAACACCATGCTAGCTGTAAGTATGAGGGCTGGTTCTACTCATTTAGCACTGTCAGAAGTTAAGCAGTTGCTGAACAAATGTTTGTTAAACAAGGACTACCTGTAAACTATATTCACAATTCTTTTGGATATGTGTATGTGTGTATGCCTTGACTGTTGCCAATTGTTCCTGAAATCACCAAGAATCAATCCTGACTCAAAGGAGAGTTTACTTTTTTAGTCCTATTTATACTATCAATGAAAGAGACTGGTATAAATATAATTTGTAGACATGAATGCACGAATACTGTGCTGTAGTAAGAAGATTTGTGTGTGTGTGTGTGTGTGTGTGTGTGTGTATGCCTATAGTTATATTACACTAAAACCTATTGATAATCAATAAATATTATTCTGAATTAACCATGTTTGGTATTGCTATAC